GGCAGGGCCGGCAGCCGCTGGTGCCCAGCCACTGCGGTCGGCCCCGGCTGAGCCTGCTCGCCCTCTGCCGCGGCCATGCTGGCCCGGTCCTGAGGTAGCCCTGGGGCTCCTCGCTCCTCACTGGGGTCCCCCACAGCAGCGTTGCAAAAAGCCAGAGTAAAGCACCCTCAAAGCCATTGCTCCTGGAAGTCAGTGACCTGGCTGAGCCTCGAGCCATGCGTGGGGAGTCCGGGTGGTCAGGAAGGGCTCTGCTTTTGGCTGAGGTGGGACCTGGCAGGGCTCGGCAGGAGGTGTCCCCCGGTGCCCTGGGGAGCTCCTGGGGCTGGAGGCTCGTCCCCAGGGAGCCGCCTTTCCCTTTGCAGAGAATGGTGCGCTGAGGAACGGGACGGAGGAGGTGCTGTCCCTCGAGCAGTGCCCCCCCACCAAGAGGCTGAAGACCAACCTCTGCAACAACAGCAAGGAGCAGCGAGTGGAAGAGGATCAGACCCGAGGTAACCAGCAGCAAGAGCTGGGGAGTGTCATGGCCTGGGTCGTGCATCCTGAAAAGCACTGGGAAACTTCTCTGGGAAAGGGCTCGGCTCTTCCTGGGGGCCATGAGCTTGGTTTCCAAAGGCAAAAGCTTTTGTGGTCTCGTGATGCTCACTTGTGCCTTACAAGACACCAGCAAACCCAACTGCAAGATATGGCACCACAAGCTGGACTCCGTTAATTGCTCAGCTTGGAAATGATCTGTGTGTTGCTACTTTGAGCTCTAGCTCTAACATCTCCAGTAGTGAAAGGACATGGGTTTTGCACCAAAATTTTTAATATGCCCATGGCCTGCCTTCTCTGTGCAACGCTCAGCAAAGCTGTAGCAGTTTTAATGCAAGAAGTAAGGCATCTGTAAGTAGAGTGTGTTTAAAGTTTGTTACATAAGGAATGATAAATCTCTTTTTTTTGTTTTTAATTTTATAAAGAGCAAATGGTTTCCGAAGTTACGAACAACAGTGGGAGTCTCGAAGGTAATCGATCGCCCTATCTCTCTTGGGAAAAGGTGTGGGGCTGATGCAGGTGCTTGCAGGCAGCACTAGGCAAAGATCGTGGGTCCCTTTTTAACAGCACCATGTAGAAAGGGGGAAAGCGCTGTGATTGCAGATTGCTGGGCCTTCCTTTGTGTTGAGGAGAGCAGACTGCTGTGCAGATCCTCCCCACGGGGCGTTACCGGGGGGGGGGGGGGGGGAAAAAGAGAATTTCATGGCAAGT